CATCGTAGCGGCGAAACCGCATCCCGCCACCGCGCCGCGGAAGGCGCACTGCGCTGGCGCCGCAGTGGAGGCCAACACCAAGTACCTCCCTCCTCGGTAGGCCGCAAAGCAGACGGCCGCAACCGCGGGGTGAAAGCGATGCTGGCGGCAGCGGCTCAAGCTTAGAGAGCGAGGGATCTGCGCGTAGAACTTGAGCATGTCCCAAAGGATAGTGGCAGCCTCTCGACCTCGGTTCCTGCTGGCCTCGAACCGAAAGCATTGGCGCCAAACCGCGCCCTGGGCCCCCCCGGAGTTCCCCCGCGGCCCAGCAAGGCCCGTCGTTGGCAGCCCCCCACTGACGCGCGATGCATCTTCGCCCGAAATCTATAAGAGCCCCCGAAGACACCGATGGGTCGAAATAAGTTGGCTTGGCCAACGGAGCCACCATCAGGGCCCTCAGCTGGCGGGGGGGGATCCGATGTTTCAACCAGAAGCAAAACCTGAGCCAGCGCATCCTGGGCGCTGGCCGACACATGGGAAGAATGCCGCATGTGGAAGCCGTCAAGCCCCACAGCGATCCCCTTCGAAAACTTACGAGAGACGGACCAATATCCGACGCAAACAGGAGCGGGATGGGGGGGGTCGAGGCCCCCCCTATCCCCAAGTTCCCTAGAAATGGCTTTCCAGAGGCCCCCGAACCCGTCAAACCCGGCCCGCAAAAGCTTGCAAGGGTCCGAAACAACCGAGCCGAACTTGGACAAGGTCGCGGCAGGGCGCCGCGCCACAAGATCCGCCGTAACTTGATGCATCCTTCCCGTTTCATTATTTATTCCGTCCAAACGCCCCGAACTCCAGTCCTTCTTCGACTAGATCTGAAAAGCTGGCTGGCTGCCTCAAGCTGCAGCGCCACATACATCCTCAACTGCACACACGCCTGCCATAGCTGAGCGTCGGCAGGCCTTCCGAGCCACGCGCGGGCCGCCACCTGTGCCTCAGTGAAGGTAGTGTGAAGTAAGTCTCCCTGGTGGAGCTGGATGAAAATGGGGAAGAGGTTAAGGAAGGAACTGCGGGGGGAGTGGTCGGCCTTCGCTTCCGCGCGACCTAAGAAGGCGCAGATCGTCGCGTGGGGCAAACTGACCGCGCGCAGGATGGGGCACCTCGGGCCCCCCCGGTCCTGCCCAAGATCGGGCCTCCACCGCACCTGAACATCCGCTCCTCTCGCTGCAAGAAAACCAGCTCAAGCCCCATAGTGAAACAACAAGCACACGCCCCCCCCCCCCCCCCCCCCCCCCCCGCAGTGGACCACGCTTGGTAGGCCTCAGACAGAAAAGAATGAGCCATGCCCCACTGCCTAGCCTGGGCCCTCTGAAGGCACTCGTCCACCAGATCCCGAACGCGATCGTACCTGGGTGGCTCCCGCATCGGACCGATCGGGGGGTCGACGGGGATCGGCGGGGGCCCCCGAAAGAACAGCGATCGCAAACGGGCCAGACCAGCGTGGAAAACCCGACCCACAGGCCTCCGAGGATAAAAAAAAGCAGCCGATCGATTCAGCCCAGCTGAGCTCACGACGTTGGCAAGTCCTGCAGACAGGACGAAAAAGTCGATCTTCCTGGGAGGCGATCGTGCTGGGTAACAGGTGTGCCCCTTGGCACCCGCGATCTGAGCCTTGAGGTTCTGGGGGAACTCCGAGGTCCGCAACCCTTCTGGGCCAAGGTTGAAGTCGCCACCCAGCAATAGTGGCGGGCCAGCCGTTGAGAGTCTCGAGCCCAGCGAACTGAGCAGCCCCCATTGCCATCAGGCAGCCCTTCGCAGCCGTGGAGATAACACGCGCTGGCTTAATAGTGCTGGCCTCCAGATGGGTGGGCAATGGCGGCGAGGACTCTCGGGCCCATGAGACAAAGCGCGTTGGGGGCCGAGCGCAGGCCCATCCAACTGCGGGCAAACCTGGCCACTCCCGAGGAGGGGCCGCCCCCTGGGCCCGCGGCCCCCAAGCTCCAGAGAGAGCACCAGCCATTCCTGCAACGCCGAGCTGAGGCCGCGTGGAGGACCTCCTGGGTCACGAAACGACGTGGGCCCCGCAAGACCCAAGCCAATCCTTCGTGGCGCTCCAAGCGCTGCCATTCACAGTCTGGACGATCAGCTCAAGATGCGCTGGACTGGGGACGGCGGCAGGGGAACTAGGATGGCTCGGGGCGCCAGCTCTCAGGGTCGCGCCCAAGACTGCCGCCCGCGTCGACTGGTCTGCTCGGCGACAAGGGGCCCCGGCGGGCAGCAAACAGCCCCGACGGCTGCTTGGGAACCGCTGCACCTCCCGAAGTAGAAGCAGAATCAAACAGAGCGCCTCTTACCTGACAGGGAGGACTTCACACAAATTCTGGCAAACGTGGCATGACATGCTCCAGACGATTCCCCCGACCGATATCCTCAAACTGACAACCACCAACTTCGCGCATGATCTGCAGGGGGGTCCCTTGCGCAGGCTGCGTGTGCTTGGTCGGCGGCACCCGCACACCGTGCAGCGCCTGCACGCACTCGCTGAAGCAAAAGCTCGCACGAAGGACCTCCTGTCAGGCCCTGAGATGACCCTCCTCCTGGCCCAGACGAGGAAGCATCTTCAGGAGCAGCAGCACCACCAGCGCTGCCAATGCCAACCTAAGCGGCCGTGGCGGGAGCACCCGCTGCCTCGGCATCGGCGGTGCGGCGCTTCTTCCCTTCTAAGCGGGCAGCCATGGCTCGCTGGGCTGCGCGGGCCTCGCGGGCTGCCTCAACAGCCGTCGTGCACAGCTCGCGCGCCATGTCCTGCAAGCCCTCCTGCAACTGCTCCTGCCGCTTTTTTGAACTTGTTGAAGGTCTGTAGGATCCAGCTCCGCAAAATCGCCGACAGTGAACACACTACCCATGTCGATGCGGAACGAACCCACCCTGCCCTCCAACAAACTCTCAAAATCGATCGTCGGTGGCTCCACCGACTCGGCCATGACAAGCTTTGCCGCGTTTGCCTTGGCGACCTTCTGGGTGAGATCACTGCGCGTCTGGTCCAGGTGCTTGAAATCTTCCGCCGTGACCGCCAGGTGCCGTCTCTGCGATGCCAGCAATTTTTCGGTTGTCTCCATCTGGGCCAACTCCTTCTCCATCTGCTTGCCACGACGCAGCCATTCCTTTCGGTATCGAGCGAGCTGCTCCTCAAGCGACTTTGGTGCCTTACGCGGCGACCGCAGGGCCTGCAGCTGGGCGCGACACCGCCCTGCCTCGAAGGAGTTGCCGACTGTGTCGTGCAGCTTGATGAACACTCGAGTTCCTCATCCGTGAGCCTGGCGACGGACTTGGGTTGCTGGAGGCCACCTTGTGGCCCAGGGACAAGAGCATGAGGCTCCTGCTGCTGCTGCTGCCCTCCTCCCTGGCCCCCACTCGCGCCGACGCTGCCGCGCAAGTCGGGGCTGCCAGGCGGCCCTGGCGGCGCCCCCCAGGAGCAAGGGCAGGGGCTCGGTCCCCACCATCCGCCTCCGCCGAAATAGGGCATCTGCGGACCGACGGCGAACGGAGAGCGAACCTGTGGGGCCACACGTTGAGCCCATACACCTGAAGGACGAGACGACGCTAGCCACGCTCGGGACCCACTTCAGGGCCCCAGAAACCATAACAGTGGAGGCCACCCAGATTCGGCGTCGAGCCCAGGGGGGAATTGAGAAGGGGCGGGCCGTCTCAGAAGAATCGGACGTTCCCTGGCCTTCTGAGACGATTTCTCAGCCATCTCAGAAGACGCAGAGAACTTCTCCGAAGGCCGCAGGGCTTCAGACAATTCCCGCCGCCATCTGAGACGGCCTTCCTCCTTCTCAATTCCCCCCACTCGCTCGCCGCTGAGATGGAGTCGGAGGATTGCGCCGTATCGTCGATGCATTGGCGACGTCGGCGATGCATCGGTGCCGTCGGCCTGGAGAAAATCGGACGCCACATCAAGCCGCATCGGCGATGTATCGGTGATGCAACGCCGACGCGGCACGATCCTCTGACCCCATCTACTCGTACCCCATCTGGGAGGCGTGGAGCTGCAAAACCCCCTAAACCAAGACATTGCTAACAAGGACTTTGAATGTTCACCCCGAAGGACCGAAGAAAGCTTAGACTCTCAGGTGACCCAGCGCCCTGGTCAATCAACAAATCTTCGTTTGGGTAGCCCTCAGCACTGGTGGAGCCGGCCCTTCCGAACGTGCCAAGTACACGCATCCTCACGATGAGGCCACTCAGCGCGCGATAAGCGCGCGCAGGACAGAGGCAGGCTGTGAAGCTGCCGATGAATACGGGATGGTATGTGCATCTATCGACGCGAAGTGCCACAGGCCCTCTGGGCGCAAGCGGGCAGCCCAGCTGGGACACTCCACTTGGCGCGTGGCGCTCCACGAGGCGCGAAGCGCAGATATGCTCGCGCTGTCGCGCGGCCTCGCGGATAAACGGGGGTACAGTCTGGGCATTGACCTAAGGAACCCTACAGAAGGAACGAGGCCCCTGCTTCCCATAAATGACCTTCCATTTCCCACGGAAACCCCAGGAAAACCCAAGGCAAACTGTAAAACAATCAAAGAACACCGAGCTCCTCCCCAGCAAAAAAGGTTCCTTCCTCAGGGCCCCGACTGTATGGCGACCCCGACCACCCCGACGTTGTGGGAGCTTCGACTGGACGCAAATTTGTGGACTTAACTCGGGCACCTACGCTTGGGGGGGGGGCATCCATGGAGACAAAATCGCGGGCCAAACTCGGGCACATACGCTGGGGGGGGGCATGCATCCTAGATGTGAGGTGCGTTCGAGCAGCCCACAGGGGGGAGCATTCCCAAGTTTCCCTTCGCTTCTGGGCGGCCTGACTTTGGGGGGGGAACTCGAGGCTTGGGACGAGAAGCTCATCTCACGGGGATCAATCAATAGATAGTGGGGCCATCGCTTGAGCCGTGATGGCAAGGGCTGTGTCTGGCTGTCGTTGCTCGAATGTGCATCGTTAGCACTGCGCCCCGGTAAAAGGGAGCCAGTCGTACTTCTTGTCCGCCATGTCCTCCAAAATCTGGTCCTCGCACGCAACGAGGTGGGATGTGGATGAGACGCTGAGGCCGAAACAGACAGTTACTAAAAGACTTGCAGAACTCCCCCGCGCCCTCGCACTTGCCAATGCCTTCCCCCTTGCCCAGGTTCCCCCTCCCCAAACACACGGGGCGTCTTCGGCGAGGTGCGCTCAGATGGTGCCGCAAAGCTCCAAATTCAATGACACCTGGAGGCGCGACGACTGCAGTGAAAAACGCATGGCTGCAAGGTCTCGCGCAAGGTCGGGAAGGGTTGGCGATCTGGTTTGATGACAAATCAGGGCTGAACCTAAACAGTGTTTTTCGTTTTCCTGGTGTGTTCGTTTTCCCGCGTTTTGTCTTCAATCCGCCTTTACTCGGCGGTGGACAAACCTCCCTGTAGTAGACCTCCCCTGAATGAAAACGCCCTGGGACCGAAACCGACGGACCTGGACCCGCAAAAATGACGGCCGCGACGCCCTCTCGCGAACCGAAAACGGCCAATCCCTTAATCGACGTGTCAGGGTAGGAGGTCTGTCCACCCCCGATTTACCGCACAACGAAGTCGAAACGAAAACGGCCCACGAAATCGCCAAAACACAGTTTAGGTCCAGCCCTGTGACACATCGCGGGGACAGACATACCCCGAGCGATCGGGAGGTCCGCCTGTCGTGCTCGGCCAGCACAGTCGAGCCACCTCCCAGGGCAATGACGCTGCGCGCACAGCATCCAGCAGCGTACCGATTTGGTGCTTCTCGGCGGTGGACAAACCTCCTTTTAGCAAACCTCCCATTGGAGAAAAACGCCTGGGACCGAGACCGACGGATCTGGATCCGCAAAAGTGACGGCCGCGACGCCCTCTCGCGAACCGAAAACGGCCAGTTCCTGAATCGACGTGTCAGGGTAGGAGGTCTGTCCACCTCCGAGTTTCCCTTCCCTGGGGCAGAAGGATTGTGTTGCAACGCGGAAGGGGGACAAGGAGTCGGGCAAGGAGAACGAGGAGGACCACGAATGGGCCCAAAATCATGTCAGCGCTGGTATCTTGTTTCAGCGCAAGTGCTAGCAAATGAGAGAAGAGGAACTGGGAAACCACGAATGAACCCAGGGCCGAGTGGGCCGTGTCGATGCAAATGCCAACTCGGGAAAACGTGACACTGCCAAATGGGCCAGACGATCATCAGTCTGGTTGAGGCCTACCAAGAAAAACAACGTTTTTCAATGAAACACGCACTGGCCCCTGATGGCATCACAACGTCTCACCAATCCCGGCTAATTAGAGGCCTTTGTGGGATGAGGGACGGAGAGAGGTCATCATCAACCGTCGTGGTCTGACACAAGGATGACATGACTCTTCCTTTCCGCCTGGAGGATGCGGTCATAAACTTGTGTTTAAGCGTGTCGCGGCGGCCTAGCGTGTCGACGCGGTGGCCCCTGCGACGCGATACAGTCCGCATATAGGCGATAGGGATGGAGTTCCAGAACGCAACGGGCCCAGAACGCCGCAAGAGCCAAGGACGCGCGCACCAAAACCGAAGGGTGCACAGGTGCCGATTGCGAGAAGGGCCCATCATCAACACCCAGTTCTCTTGCAAACTACTGAGATATCACACTACTTCACAAGACAAAACACAATGAAATACATCAGCACCAATATCACCCCAAAAACGTCCCATATAAAAAAACAACGAATACGCCAAGACACCTCAATCAAACCTATAAACGCCCGTTTGTCTTGCAGGCTGCTGGGGTGCCGCACCGCTTCGCGGGACGGGACGAGACGGAGCGGCTCGGCGCCGTTGCCGCCCAGAGGGCGTCCCAGGTAGGGAACGGCGGGTACGCCGAGGCGCCCTAGTTGGACCTGTGAACGCACATCGATCCCAGATTCTTGCACAATTCGCCATCGCAGGCAAGCGTTTCCCGGTCCCCATCCTTGCCGTCGCTCGGACGTCCATTTCCCAAGCATGTTTCGGTTTCGTGTGTATTTTTTTTGCTCGATGGCCCAGGATGCTCCTCCAAGGTCCTCGCCGAGAAAAAAAGCACACGTTCGAGCAATGCCAGGATCCGTATGGGAGGCTGGGAACACGTTCGAAGCGCTGATGCTTGGGGACTGGGACGTGCTCCGCACGCCGCCCCGAAGCGTGGTGGGCCAGCACCGGCCGCAGCGCACACGCTGGAGCAGAACATCCCTGGCCTTCCTCTCTGCATGATTCGCCCCAGCCGCGACCTCTCCTGGACACACCAGCAGCCCATTCTCGGCGGCGAGCCCACGGGGCGAAGGGCCTGACCTTCTCAGAACGCTCGGAAGGCCTCGGGCCTTCTGAGAGGCTTCGAAGCCTTCCCCGAAGACACAAAAAACTTCTCAGAAGACCCGAGGGCTTCAGAGAATCCCCGCCGCCATCCGAGAAGGCCTGCCCCCTCTCAATTCACCCCGGGCGCGCCGCCGAAACTCTTCGAGCCCTCCATGACTGCGACACGTCAACTCATGCATTGAAGCTTCCCCCGCTGCGTCCCGGGTGCGCGCGAGGAGCGCCAGGAAGGAAAAAACCGGACCTGAGCGAGGGGCAACGACACAGAAGGTGCGCGCCGAGATGACGTCGTCGTTGGTCTCTGACACCCGCTTAGTCGTTCAACCTTGAACATTAACGGCTTTCCAGTGGGGCGGATTGTTCGCTAGCGGCCGATTCTGGGCCACTGGCGGCGTTCAACCTTGAACGGCCGCAGTGGGGTCACCGTCGCGACAACGCGGCGCGAACCTACCGTAGAGGGGACTGGCCCAGGCGGGGGGAGCACATCGACCTCGAATCGACGATACATCGCAGATAGATCGGCGACAGGCCTCCGATAGCGAAACACCACGTTCCTCGGCGGGGCCCAAAATAGAATTCCTCTGACGTCCCTACGAGTCTTCGGAAGGCCCACGGGGCCACAATCGCAAAATCACAATTCGACGAAGAACAAATATAAAAACAATAACTGTATGGATACACGCTCTCAAAGATCCGCGCAAACTCAATGGATCGGCTTCACCCTGGCGAAAGGAACGCGCCAGGGGCGCCGCCAGAAAGGCGTTCATTGCCGATCCAAGAAATCCGCGCAGACCTCCAAGAGTGCAGATTTGTCCAGTTGTTTTGATGAGAATCGAAAAATTCGCCGGTTCAACGGGCCAAAGGCGTGCTAAGATCTCGTAACTACTTAACAATATTTCTAGTTCGCGCGCGCGGGGCGGCCCCTGGGGGCCCCCGGACAAAAAAGTACCCCAGCTGACCCCCGGCCGGGTCCCGGCTGGGTCCCGGGCAATCCCCAGGGTGGAGGGTATTTTTCGCCACCTCTCACGAGGATCGTGGCCTCCGAGGGGGGGGGGCTGCAATCGACTACCCCCCCTCCCGCCCCAAGGGTGTCCCAAGAGCCCCCCAAGAGGCCCCAGGGGAGCCCAAGACGCCGCCAGGGAGCCCCAGGACGCTCCCAAGATCCCCCAAGATACCCCCAAGACGGCCCCAAGAGGCCCGAAATAGCACTCCAGGGCCGGCGGAATGAGCGAAGCGATTCATAATAATCCTTCCCCCGCCTCATCCCGATTACTAGCCTCCAACAAGGAATACCTGAGCGAAGAGTGCCCGCGCACAAGGCGCACAGGAGGTCCTGTGCCGAGCAGCCCTCTTGGCCAGCAGTAGCCCGAGCCCAGGGGCAGGCACCGGAGCCCCGCGCGAGGCGCACGAGGTCCCACACACACACACACACACACACACACACACACACACACACACGCGCACACACACAAGGTCCCCCGCACCAGGTCGCGCGTCCGCGGGCGATTTCGGGCATGCGCGGGCGCTCCTGCAGAGCTCGCGCTCGCTCGCCTGCGGACGCCGTGCACGACGCCGCGGGCGAGCTGAGACAACGGCAGCCCTCCCGCCCGCCCCAAATCCGCTCAAGATCGGTCCCTGGTTCCATCCTGCCCTGCTTGTCGAGTCGGATCCAGCGGTGGCGACAAGAAGCCTCCAGGCGGCCTAGACAGGACGACAAACGCCAGGGGGGGGCCGCCGTTGTCTCGACAAGCCCTCCTCCAGCACTCTCCGGGCTCTGGGGTCATAATTCGAGTCTCCAGCGGCAGGTCGGGACGATTCGGGCACCACCGGAACGCGCTCGGCGTGGCGCAGCTGTTGGGACGCATCCCGAGGCAGGAAACCTTTTGAGGAATCGACGAAAGCATCCGAACCAAGTTTCATCGCGCACGCAGCGAGCTCCATCCCCCTCGCCCCCATCTGGAAAAAAGAACAAACTGCATAAGCGTTACCTACGGAACTCCGCGCAGATTAGTTGGTTTGGCGCTGCCCCCCCTCCCTGGAGCGCGGAGCGCTCCAGGGGCGGCGCTGGAGGGGCCGCCAGGGGGTCCAACGCCGATCCAAGAAATCCACGCGGAGCTCCGAAAGTGTACGTTTTGCAGTTTGCTCTTTCGTTTTACCATGACTAACCACCAAGCCACCCAATCTAACCCTAAGTTGCCGCTGGTCCTGCCAATGCCCGATGGGGGGGACTTTCGGGCACGTCGAGATCACACAGTGGAGCCGTGCACCCCAAACCCGAGACCTGGGGGGTCTGGGCCCTGCGGGTTGGGTTCGGATGGCTTGATGAGTACAGTCTGACCTAGGCCAGAAAAAAACATCCCTCAAAAACATGAGACCCAACGTCGGCCAAAACAAACAGAACATCCAATGGTACCCTCCCCAGGATGCATAAGAATATCCAACAAACACGAAGAATACTACTCTGGGTTTCTGGATAAGCGTGGGGGGGCGTCACCCTCGCCGACAGCCACACATCGACCCCCGTCGCGGGCAGCCACCGCGGGCCGAAGGCGCTCCGACCCCCGTCGCGGCGCGACGACGAGGCGAGGTTGACCCCAGTCGGGGGGGTACCCCCACACGCGTATGAAGAAACCCAGAATAGGGCACCTCCCCGAGACGACCTCG